GAGACATCAGCGAAGGATAATACTGTGAGATACTTCCACAAACTTGGCTCATGTCTTATGCATCTTTTTTCTAATGTTTGTCTTTTAATTGGTCATCAGCGTGCGCGGAATTGTCTACGGACCTCTATGTTGCAATCAAGCAGAGCTTCAAATTTCTCATTCACCTTGTGACAAATTATTTTGAGCAGATATGGTTGAACAGATTGTTCATCAACGGTACCCGAAAGGTGGCCCGTTGCGCGAAACAAAGCAGAGTCAGCGGACGAGTCGCAGCGCGTACTGTAGTGATTTCGCGTCAAGTTAAATAGAATGTACCATTGTACGTCCTACATCGCACATCACGCGCTGCGACTCGTCCGCTGACTCTGCCTTCTTGCCGCGCGACGGCCTCCTGTCGGGAACCACGTTCGTCAGCATAACAGATTTTTCTACTTAGTTTCGTTTTTTTATCAGATGATTTGTCTAAAGGCCTCCCTTGCTCTCAGTTACTCAACATACTGTATATTCAATTCTCTTCAAGATAGCGAGTTTATCTTTCGAATCCGGAAGCATACTTCTTGCTGTGAGTTCCGAAAAAGTAGAACTGTGCCTGCACCGTTCTAAGAATTTTCAGTCCTAGTATGCACAGGTCCCGTTCTAATCTATTCCTTTAGTCACTAAGTGATTTATAGTTAAAATACACTTTCGTTTCCCACAGTTGAACAGTCTAGACATTGCTGGGCTTCCTTTTCTACGTTTCTAGAGGTGACGACCTAGTTTCACACCGTCATCATTGTCCTGTATTTTACACTTGTTTAGTTTTTAAGCTAACCTGTTTTTGGCCCCACAATTTACTGCGCACATTGCTGGTGCAAATTTTTTACCTTCGAAATTTAATGCAGTTTTTTCACTATTTTTGCAAGCTGCGGAACGATTATCAGTAACTTTTATGAAGGCTTTTCACTCCTTACAAAATTATACCATTAAATTATCCTTGGCATTGTTTCTTTGAGAAATTGAATATGTTTCAGGCAGTGCAACAAATTTTTGACAAGATGCTTCATCAGATCGAACTTGCACGAGGAAATATCAGTGAGCAGTCTGGCAGTAAATGCAGCATTTCCTAAAGGCGAAACAGAGGTCCCGGTTTACTCAATTGACTAGTCCTCGCATTTCTATCCGTCGTCACGCCATCTCTGTACTGTGACTGTGATGAAATTGCTTTCGTCGTTGAATAACCACACAGTATTTTGAGATCAATGCTGTCAAAATTGTTTTTCTTTCTTTTCGCAAGGTTTTGCACGCCCCTATATTGCTCCTTTTATAGTACGAAATGTGGTTAAATTTATATGCAAAATGGAATTTATCGTTGCTTTGTTTGTAGCGGTGCCGCATTGTACATACTAATTGTTAATATTTATAAATTTATTAAATTTCTATTTAACCTATGGATTTGTGTTTTTCTGAAGAATGGGTCATATTCCCAGACATTCTAAACATTGTGTTGCATGTACTGTCATTTGAAGTGGTTTAATCCAAATTTTCTTGATCACTACAGCCTCTCCACTAGCTGATCGAGCCAACATTTTTCAACCGTCGGTGCGGTGTGATCCAAGTACAACTGCTTCTCCAGGTTTGTTCGTGTGTGCGTGCTCTTTTCTGATAGCTCAATGGTTTTTAAGTTCCCTTCCTGATTTATTACACTGCGTAAATCTTTCCGCAGAGTAATCAAAGTGAATTGAAAATGTTTGCGGCGGCTATGGCCCGAGCAAAATCAAGTTTTACAGGGGACGGTCCGATCCGTGGAAGATGTTAATTTTCAGGAGAAAAGCCTTCTGCTCTGTTCAAAATTCCTCCTCATAGGAAAGATTCAACATCCAGTAAAATTAAGTGGAAGAGGATGGATTTCGTCAGTGGTTACATTTTTGACACCATCAATTGTTATCTAAAATCGAAAAATTATTATCTAAAAATTTGCGAAAAGTATGTAAATAATCCGAAGAAAGTTTTGCAACACATCAAGTAGTCCCTCGTTTTTTAACAAAGTAATCTAAATCGAGAATCGATGGTTACACATGAACAACCGTGATGGGGAGCTCGATAGAAGTTTTATTTTTTCAGTGAAGGTGCGCAGGAAAGATTCTAATTCGTGCTCCCTTGTTTTTTCCCAACATAGGGCAAAAAAGTGGAGTGCGTTGACATTTTGAATTTCGTGCTTTTCTTTTACTGCATTATTTCGTGAAACTTTCTGTGACATTCACGCAGCAGCGCATGGAAAGTGAATATAATTATGCGTCAGTATGATGATACGCCCCGTCAAACTATTAAACTAGCTATGCGTTCTGCTATCATTCCTTACGGACTTTGTGAAATATGAAGGCTTAGTTCTTGGATAGGTGAACATTTCTGTCAGGTGGATTTTTAAGCTGATTTTCATCGATGTTGATGCCTTCGTTGTATTCAAATGCGTTAAGAAATAATTTTAAGGTTCTGAAAACGGGGGTAATATGGACGGTACCGATGTCATGAGTCGTTTCCCAAACTTATCGAAAATGGCTGAAGCTGTTGGAAAGTGGGTGATCTCAATTCAATGCTTTGTCACGTTTCTCTTTTATTATTCGTGTATTTTCTAGAAAATATGGTCGGAACGTTAGGAAAGTTTTGATTTCATTTGGTGGTTCGTAAGTGAAATATGTTAATTCTGGACTTTTTAATTCGAGTTAAATACTGGTGCATAATTGTATTACTCGTTCCACCCACTGTCTATGTGGGTAACCGGAAGCGCTAGTCTATCAAGCCCATTTTAGTGTCGACGTCGTTGCAAAGGTTGAGTCGTTGAAAAAGTGGACGATTGGCACATTCAAGAATTCAAGACAACAACTCTTGGAGCATATGGGAAAGGTAGCCTCGTGCGACGAATACTCTGCTCTTATCGCCTTAAATCAGATTTTTAGATTGACAAAACTGTTGATGAACAGTTTGAGAAGGAATGCGAAGAGCTCAAGGATTTGCACAGAAGGTGATTTCAACAATTTCAACATGTCTTTGGTTTAGTTCAAGCGCTCCTTTAAGGTACGGAGCTGTGGTCAACGCTGCACGTGAATTCACCAATCTTTTGACTCAGCTGACTCAAGCCGAGAAAAATCTTGCAGAAAGTCTTCAACAGCTGTCAATCAAAGAAGTCGCCATTAAGGTAAGCCGTCGATCTCAGCGTATCTATAGCAGGCTTTCACAGAATACTACAATACTGCACTATTAAGGCTATGTCCTCATTGTTCATTGTATAATATCATGTTCATAAATTATTTTGTAGCTCAATTGGCAGAAAACTTTCTAAAGTAGTCATTGTACAATTTCAGAAAGTTTTTCTTTATATTTTTAAACGTCACTCACAACTAACCTGGCTTGAAAATTTCTCTCATTCTTTCAATTCAAATATCGCGCAACCACGATCTAATCATTACTTGGAACGCTACGCGAAATTCGATGTAAGACAATCATGGCAGCACGGAATAAGCCTCTTTGTAAATTCCAAATTGAAGGATTCACATGAGAATTGCTTAAAACTTTTTTTCAGCCTCAATGCTCCACAACTTCTGAATCAATGCGACGTGTCGCCGAGCAGGCTACTGCACTCGATGGTTGCTTGCGGTACTTTTGTCCTCAATGGAAACCCTCCATGCGAAAACCATTGTCGACACGTTTTTTGGAAACAAATCTATCAACTGAGGTGAGTTTATAATAGAACCATAACAAAATGATAGAATAGTCTTGTTTCTTCTGGCCGGTGCATCTGTAATTCTTCGAAATTACCAGCAAAATATGAAAGTGCGTGGGAAGTTTTCTCTCTTTTTCTAATTCTACGTTTTTTCTAGTTTTATTTCTCATTGCTGAATGTGGTCGTAGATTAAAATCGCGATAATTGATCATGTTTATGAAAGAGTAAAGTGGGTAGTGGAAGGGGTAGAGAAGGACTCATGTTGACGACAGGTAGCCCTTTTGTGGCAGAAAACACCTATTAAAAAATTATAATAGGCAAAAAAGCCTGAAACGGGTCTAGACGTTTTTCTTTTCAGGAATGCCTTCTGTGAAATCGAATTTTCAGTTGAATAATTTTCAGTTTTCAACTTCGCAGTTACCGTTTGGGTCGTTGTTAACATGCACGCTTTGCTAATTTGGTTCCTATAACAACTAACATCATATTTCTCAATGTTTCTTTTTAAACTGTTTGGTGATGTCACTTCTGATTTTGTGCTGGCCAGATGCCAAACGGTCTAAAAACTTCTGTAAATCAGAGTAGCGGCAGCTTCTCAAAATAAGCTCTGCACGAATTTAAAGCACGTGTGCGTTCATTGGACTTCTTCCAAGGCGTCTTGTATGTATGGTACCGTGAACACGTAAAAAACGTGAGAAGATTTTGAAAAGGCTATCCACGCAATTTTAATTTTGATAATATTTTTAATCAGTATTATATAGTCTATATGTTTTTCCGCAACCGTTACGACTACATGTTCTCGAAATCTAAATCTAATGTACGGTTTTCACTCGTTCAAAAATGCCAATGAATGGAACGGTTTCGTTCCATGTATTAGCGTGCGCCGTCATCTTGAGCGCATTGCGGTACGCATGTTTTAACCAATCTCTCATAAGGGTTTTTTAAGGCACGGATCGAGTTCGATGTTAGCCGTCATGAATTGGAATCGTTACATAGCCAAGCCACGGCTAGTCCAACTGCTATTCAAGTCGCTAGCGATAAAGCCAGCCAACATCGTGACAAATATGAAGGATTGAAGGCAGATGTTCGCGTGAGTTTGAAGGTTCAACATCGTTTATAGGACCTTCTCAAATTTTGAAAGTTGGCAGACGAAAATGCAGTTTTTGACGGAGTTTCGGAATCGAAATGTTTTTCTAAATTTGTTTTCAGGTGAAGTTGCGATTTCTGAGAGAATCTTGCTTAAAGTGATGACGAGCAATTAGAGCGTTGAATGCGCCCTGGCGCGACCTTCTCAGGAAATCCAACTCTAGCGCACTCTACGAGCTTGCCTCTCTTTCAGCTCCTCCCCCCTCATTCCTTTTATAGAAGGTTACCTTCTGTCATTTGACGGTTTCGGTATGGTTGTCTTTCGTTCCTGCCAAACTTGTACTTGGTTCGTTGCATGCATTTTAGCACTGTAACAGCCAAACAAGAGAAAATTTTCCTGTGATAGAAAGTTCAGTCTATTCATGCCTTCTTTTGGTTACTACTCTAATTTTGTAACCCATATTTAATGGCTAGGTCATGTTGGGGTTAGTGTGTAAGTAATCTTTAACGAGTACTTTGCAATAATTGTGTCCTGTATTTACTAAAATATATATTTTTAAATGCATGGTTGTATTCAAAAGGAATTCATTCGGTCGGATTTTGTATGGTTACTTGAAAAAATAAATTTTTTTACAAATCAAGTGGTATGGTGGCGCAGAGTTAATTTAGATGCTTAGAGTATAGCGTTCAGGTCTTTACTGGTGGACAAGGGCCGATGTCAGCTTTCGAATGGAGGTTGGCGATTTTGCACCAATTGCAGGAGCGACGGATCGCTCAAGCGATGCGAGCGACGGGAGATTTACCCGAGCGGCGCCGCCGTGTATCGGTATCGGCGGGTAAATCTCCCGTCGCTCGCATCGCTCAAGCGATCCGTCGCTCCTGCAATTGGTGCAAAATCGCTCCAATCGCAAAGTCTGACATCGGCCAGTGTCGGAGTTAAATTGCTTTGGACCCACTGCGTGTCGAACTCGGAGATGCGGGAAAGTATGCTGGCCAGCAATTGCCCTTCTTAGCGCATGAGCGTCGAATTCGGGTTATGGTGGTTCGTGTCGTACTGACTCATCTGCTCACGTTTACCTTCATTCCCAAATCGGTAAATACGCTAAGCGGTCGAGGACAAAAGTCGATGTGTAACTCGTGCACCACGATAAGGAACCTAGGAAAAAGCTCCAAAACCCGCGGAATGGAACCCTTATCCCCGTGATTGGTTCGAGCGCTGTGCAAGTTAGCCTAACGGCTGTATCGCCAACGAGAACACTGCTATGATTGCATCCTGAAGCGGCCAGAATACAGACAGGTTAAGTACGTCTTCTGGCTGATCTGAGGGCAAAGATAGGATCAAAGACGGGGGCGCTGTGTAAGACATTGTTAATTTACTCCCGGAGCGCCTTTGCCACCGCGAAAAGGCTCAGGAACTCTGCTCAAGCACCTAGGCTTTCATTCTGGTAGGCATTTTTATCCCGATTAGCTGTCTGGGGCCGTATCCTATCCTACCAACACGGAGACGCATCCACCGCCGCCGTTTCTCGCTATCTTATGCCTGGGGGAGACAAGGTTGCGTCGTAAGACCGCCACTGAACGGTGATTAGCCATCCCCCTTCATCATGTTGGGCACTCCACTTTTTCTCTGAAGAGTTGCGCGGTCTGGAGTCTAGAACGCAGAGTGTGGCTGGTCCTTTGACGCGACTCTGTCTCCCCCAACCATAGGATCGCCCCCCCCCCCCTGGGAGAAAGATAGGATACGGCTCTTGATCTGATTGCCATACTTTTGAGTACATTTGTTTTTTTTGTCTAACGAAGAAGGAAGGTTGACGACACAATCACCTTTCGTAGAGGCTCTATCTTCAATGAGCAGATAATCCCAAGCAACTCCACTGCATTCCCTCGCGGGTTAGGCTTCGATTGTAAGGCTTCCGGCGGAAGCCACGTCAGTGACGTAGCAACACTGTATATGTGAAGTTGTTATACATGTTAATGCGGAAGTAGCCTTTCTGCGAAATGTAGCTTCTCAGTTGTAACACGCCATCCCCTTTCATCTTTTTCTTTTCAGAAAAAAAAAAACGTGCTGAACGGCTTAAGGTATGACGAAGCTATCTCTAGGAAGAGTAACTAGGTGGAATGGTCGGAGGAAGTCAGGAATATTTGTGACCTCACTTTAAATCTGAGCCCTCCCTGCAGTATTTGGGTTGTCTTGTGATGATTGCATCTCTAATTCGCATTCATACCATTGCTTTGATTTGTCTGCAACGATAACTTTCGTATATGTACACTCGTCGGGTTGTGTAGCCAGACTGATACCTAATATTCTACTCAAGTAAGGGTGTGTAGATCAATGAAGCCATGCGATTAATATATAGATCACATTCTTATGCTATTGCCTTCACCAGTTGGCCGTATGCCAATTGTCCGCCGATTCACGCGATCAGTTGCGAATTGAAGCCGATTGGCGCGAAATTAGAGCGAATCTTGCCGCGATTTGTCCAAACCTCTCGACACATCGGCCTAAATGCCTCTTACACAGGTGCCGTTTGATTGAGCGAAGGAGGTTCAATGGGCACTCCTCCAAGGAAACAAGATCACCCAGGGTTTTTATTCTTTAGACCACTCAATCCTTTCCTCTGCACTAGGCTGTCACCTATATTATAATCCTTTAAGATACAGAGTGATCTCCATGTGGAAAACGTGACATGTTTAAGCTTATATCTCATTTCGCTTACATGAAATTTCTTTCACTCAACAACATACTTTTTTTTTTTTTTCCTTTCAAACTCGAAAATATTGAATTGGCGATAACTTATATGATATAGCATACATTATACGAAGTTATATATAATAAAAAAATCAAGCATTGAAGGTTTAGGCACTAAGCATCTTACAATGAATAATCCCCTTTTGTGATGTGCCTCTCATTCTACCTCCATTTAGAATCGTAGTAGCCTTTGAATGCTTAGCTTCTTGGCCTATACAGTGACCTATTGGGGGCCAGCCATGCGAAAGTAAGCTATTGTCTTTCCCGACAAGGCCCGGCCAGGTCGACAGTCCTGTCTGGTGCCAAATATCCAACCCGGTAGGATGGAGTGCTTGTTTGTCCCGAACACAGGAATTTATCCCCGGACCATACGCGCCGCGGCAAGCGGCTCCACTTCCCACTACTACCTCCTTGACGTTTCGTTCGTCTCTAAACGTATACTAAAACTGGAAGATCTGCAACAATAGCCACTGAAAGTGATAAACAATCCATCCTGACGGGTTCAGCATGCCGTCGCAGAGTATTTACGATCTTTTCCTAGTATCTCCAATTGTCCAAATCTTCAACCATCGAGCATCGATCTTCAACCGTAGTAGTAGAGCAATTATGGGCAACAGGGTTTGAAGTATCTCTTGGATTCCCTGAAATCCCTTGAAAAGCCCCTACAGCTCCTCCTAAACAAACCAGATTTTTACGACCATTTCTCCAATCGAAGACTATGCAGCTCAAAGCTGTTGTTGTGGTTTGGAGCGCAGCAATTACATGGCTACTATAAGCCTGAGCCTGGGTTAGTTTGATGATCTAGCCCACCAAAGTCAACTAAGTTTTCCTCTCGACGTGATCGCTTTACTGTCTTCATAATACGATAAACTGGTCTCTGCACAAGTGAAGCTCACGCACCACTGGATTTAGTAGCGAGGCTGCAAAGGAAGTTAGTTATGGCTGTTTCGGAGAAAGGTGGGCTGGTGATATCTTAATTCGGTCTCAACAAAAACTACTTATCTCTTCCGAAATCGCTCCGCCCTAATAGGTCATCGAAGCGTGTACTATGCTTAGTTAGCTGTTTAGTTGGTATAGTTATTTTGTTTTGGCTGAGTTCTATTTTAACTTTGGAAATGTCACCTCAAACGGTGGTATCTGTAAACTTTTCGTCAATCATATTGCGTCGAGGTACACTCACTCATACGGTCAGCATTTGAGTCGCCAACTCTTCCAAAGTGAATTGGTGGAGGGGGTCCCAGTTCTAGGGGTTTTTGATGGATTCATTCAGGTTTCATTTCATCTGCCGCATAATTTGACACCTCTGCTTTCAATACTGATTACCATCGATTCATTGCGGCCGCTGCCTTTAAGTTTTCTTCTGGGATGATACAGAAGCTGTTGTGAAGCGTTCAGTTTTGGAATTAGGCTCAGCCCTTACTTATTTACCCAATGCACGATGCAGATCCATCACACCACCGATACCACACTCCCTTTCCCATTAACTTTTGCGTACATTTAAGTGAAAGTGCTTCGCGATTCGATGCAGAGTTGATAGAGGGCATCAAAAACAGATTGGTCAAATGCGGAGTCTTTGTTCTCAAGCTCACGGTCCAATACTCAGCCCATTCACTCCGCGATACGCTTAAAGGTCACCGATATTCTCTTTGGAATGTTCAAAAAGGAGCCAAACCTCGGGGAGCGGCCTTTCTCGAAAATAAACCCTAGTGATCCATAGGAAATGTGATTTCCGGTTCAATTGCCGATGTGATCCGGACTTCATCAAGTTGTCGTCTGTTTGCGCCTGAACAGTTTGTCGGCAAATACACGTGTCTGCCCGTTCTGAATGACAATAGTCTTCGGCTGACACACGGTGCTGATGTTTGCTGTATTCTTTCAAGAGCCTCATTCAATAATCACGAGAACCCCACCCGCTCTTTTCGAACCATCAGTTCTCCTTCTTTCATTTAGTCATTTCCCAACATCTCACGCCTTTCTTCTTTTGCTCCATTTCTATGAAAGGAGAGCTAACCGCAAGGCAAGGGTGCTGGTCTGATCCCTCTACAGATTTTCAGGCTCCAATCTCTCTTTAACATGAGTTTAATTTGTGTGAATTGGCGTGAAGAATTTCTATTTGCCTCTTTGGTGGCTCTTGCCACTGAAACATAACCTGGATCCTTATTAAAAGATTAGAAACAGCAAAAAATTACATTGATAATAGAAGCAAAATAGCAGTGACACCTCCAAAAAGAGCAGTGGATTATTTTTGCTCCTGTTCCGAAATAGCTATTGATGTCTTTCGTCATTGAATGGAGCTCGACGAATCTGTCTCTGTGTGTCTGTCTATTTGTCGCACTTTTCTCTCTACCTGTCAGTCTATCTCGCCTTTTTTGTCTAACATTTCGTGAACTTGTCTGCCTGCTGTATTTCCCAGGTTTTTCTGTCTGTCATGTCTGCCTGCCTGAACATGAGATCATCGACCTCTCTTGAGCTCTTCAAGTCTGAAAAAGTAAAAGAAAAAAGTTATCTTGTCCCAGATGAACACTTGCTTGTAGCCGTCCGCTTCTTCGCCTTCGTCAGAGCCTGAGAAGTCAAAAACAATTGTGTGAGTTGCCCCTTACAAAACGCTACTAGGAAATCGTCTTTAGTATTGTGGAAGCGTGTGAGTGGGCCAGCCCCATTTGTTTTTGACTTTTCGACAGTGACCAAGGCGAAGAAGTCGAAACCTAGCGTAAAGAAGCTACCTAAGGCCGATGTCAGACTTTGCGAATTCGCGCGATTCGCTAGCGTCCGCGGTCGCGTTGCGGTACCAGCCAATTGAGTGATTCACTGGCCGCGACGCGACCGCAGACGCTAGCGAATCGCGCGATTCGCAAAGTCTGACATCGGCCTATCTTGTAGGCCTACAATCAAGTATCCTTGCTGATCCAACTTTAGCTAACTCAAGCAGAGACGAAGTGTCGGACTGTTCAGCTCATCTGTTTAGGGCCGGCATCGCGAGGAGAGCGGACCCGTTCTTAGGCTCAACTGACTAGGCGCATCTACGAGGAGTCCTTAGAGCCTACGACGCGTCGCGACAAAAGGGAAATTGGAAGGGCTTCCTACGCGGCTCTTTGGCCTGCCAGCGGGCAACGCTTACCAAGGCCCTAATGCCCTTGCTCGAGGCTACCGGGAGGAGTAATGATGATCAAGTGACTAGTTTCTTTCACGACACGAACGATCTGGTTACTATGACCCACATGAGGAATTAATGGTTAAAGAAAACCTTTTTTAACATGGCAAATGCGAAGATCAATCATCATCATATTTAATGATAAAAAATGGCAACTGCGAAATGTAACAATAGAAACGACCTAACTTAGGGGACGAACCTCTGACCGCCTCACTAGGGGCCTTAGCCGATCCTCACCCTCGAGGGCATACCGGAGCGCAGCGCCATAGACGTGTGTCATGCAGGGCTGTCCGACTCGGCAGCGGGCCCAAGAGTTGCCCCCATCCGCGTTGATCCGACGGCCGCAATCGTCCTCGTGTAGACGGGCACTGACGCAGTACAGAATGAGAATGGCGTGGGGAGAGCGAAACGACCGCTCAGGCGGGAGACATGTCGACGAGACTGGCTAGTCCAATTTTAGGCCGCTGGTATCGATGATCTCTTGCTTGATACGGTATCAGCTCGCGATGGGACCCCAATGCGGTGTACCTGACGTTGTTCCTTGATATTGGCTGGACAGCATTGATTGAATGAGTTGAATGAGTCGTACGAAGTCACGACACTGGGGGGCCGAGACGAGAAGAAACCCACCGCGAGCTTGGGCAGTGAGGATCAGCCCTTACCTAGAGAACATACATGTTAATCGAAGTGGCGCCTACCGGAAGGGGCCTAATCCATCCGACGATATAAGCGAGTGTCTCCCCATTTTTTGGCACGGTTTAAAATAACTCGAACTGTGACGACCTTTGCGGCGAGGTTCGTGGGGGCACTGAGCTGGATCACTTCTGGGTCAATGACGTCCTACTCTCAAAAAAAATACAACATTGTATACAACAAACATGTAAAAATACACAATGGCGCTGTCGTTGCGCGAGATCAACGTTGTCGTAATGGCGATCCTTGAACCGGCTGTCGATGTTCTGAGCGTCGATCAGTAGTGGATTGGAGATCGTAGACTTGAGCACGTGTTGACGTACGACGTGGAGATCGTGAGTCGTGAGCATCATGGATTGAGCGAACACGGGTACGGGGAACAATTTTCGTGATTGAACACGTTTTGCGTGCTCATAGGGAGTTGTTTTTGTGAGAGTTTTGCCTCTCTTTGTACCACCAAAAAACAATTTTTACCGGGTCAAGCGAAAAGGGCAATGAGAGGGGCGACATGGAATCCCAGGTTGAAACGAAAGGTGTGTGCACAACACAATAACCCGATGCCGTCCAGAGGTAGCGGTATAGTTAGGGTGACATAAATGATTCGTAAGCTGCGTGTATTTCAGTCAAATGCGGGTACAACAAGAATCGCGGGGTTCACCAAAATACTGCCAAGTGCGTTGGAATCTAGGGGTTCATCAAAATACTGCCAAGTGCGTTGGGATGATTCAAACTTGATAACTAGGTCGAATCGACAGGTGCGCAATTTTTCAGGGTGACTGCTAATACGTAGCATTCTTCGAACATTGGCAAAAGTGTGGAATTTTCGTAATATCGACAACTGCGTAAAATTCTCGGATATCGACAAGTGCGCGAAAATTGTTGAAAATCGGCAAGTGCGTAAAAGTCGTTGAAAATCGGCAGGTGCGTGAAAATTGTTGAAAATCGGCAAGTGCGTAAAAATTGACAGGTGCGCTAGTAATCCAATTAGTGCTGATTAATTGACAAGTGCGTAACTACTGCGGCAAATGCGTAAAACTCTGCAAACTCACTGCCAGGAAGGCCCTGGCTCGTCGAAGTTTGTATTTTTGAATAATGGCCTTCTCATATTACGGCGGACTTGCTGCGCGCGAAGCATAGCTTCGTCGATTAAAGATCCGTATTCAAGGCCGATTACGTCAACGTCAGCGTTTTTGTTATAATCGCAAAATGCTGTGTGGTGGTTGAATGATCTGCAAGCTTTGCATTTTTTCTTTAACGTGCAGTCCGTTTCGGAGTGCAGGCCGCCGCACTTGAAGCATCGACCTTTTTTGGCATGCAGTTTTATACGCTCTGACAGCTTTGGCACAACTTGGCACCCAGAGGAAAAATGAGCCTTTTGGCAGAAAAAACAACGGCGCATAGGAGCAGGGTGGCGTTCGTGCGTCACCCAATTGGGTTTGAAAGACCCAGCCTGGGGGCGCGTGCGAGGTGGTTCCAAGAGCGGAACTGTGCTGCGGGGCCGAGGTGCTGATTTTACATGCTGCGACGAAGCGCTCAGGTTGCGTGATGTGGGCGGTCATTTTCAGAAGACTCAGACCTGCGACGCTTTTGCGTTTTGCGAGTGGGTTCTTGAATGGATTGGTACGTAGTGTCTTCATCCGCAGAGAGATCTTTTAAATGGCGATCACTCAGCGCATGAATGACCTCTTGAGCTTCCGCTATTGTGGCTGTGGCCATGGCGAATGTTTGCTCAAAGTCAGCATAATGGAGATTGTACTGGGCTAGTGCGTCAGGTAAATGTGGGTTCACCTTGTTCTTGCGGAAGAAGAATGGGAAAAAATTGTTGAAGATTGCGGCTCTACGATAGGTAATGTTATCTATGAGGCTGCGCAATTGCTGAATGTGCTCAAAGAGAGCAGCTCCCTGAGGTGCACTAGTCAATTCTGACAGTTGCGAAATGTAGTCAACGAGATGGTCGCACTGGTTGCGGATGCCTTTGAGATTGTGAACTATATCGAAAATAGCCACATTGGGGTACAGCTGAAGCTCGCGCTCGGACCATGATGGTAGATGAACTTCCCTCGTGAAATGGCTGCGAATATTTTTATAAAGATTGTCGCGCAAGAACGAGTCGATCAAAACATAGTCATGAGCCCCCAGGTGCGCGCTATCGAATATGTACGACGGATTCATTGCGACGGTGAGCTTCTGCAATAGAAGCAACAATGGTCTATCGGCTTCCGCGACGGACGCAAACTTGGGCTCTTGGCTGGTAGTATTCGTTGGAGGAGCAGCGGATTCTTGCCTTCCCAGAAGAGCAAAATTCTTCCAGTCGCGGTAGACACGAGCCGTCCTGGGTTCGGGTTGCTACGCAAAAAGTGGAGCGAAGTTGGGGCGAACTCGTAATACTCTGGCATTTCGGCCTCAACGGGTTGGTGGGTTGTGTCCACTACATCCATCTCCTCAAGGACTTCGTGAAGGAGCGGGACATTGATGTCGGGGTTGCGGTCGGTGATTTCGTGAAGACACTCTGTGAACGACTGTTCCGCTTCCGTTAGCGGTTGCTGAAATATTTGAGTGTGGGTTTATATGGATTATTTGAGATAAGGAGTGTTTACGGCATACTCACCTTAATCGGTGAAGCCTTTGGCGAACTCATCATAGGAACGCAATGTGCTGGTCAGGCACTAACACGCAATTACCTCTAAAGGGGAAAAACTTTAGACATAATTGTTGCGTTATGACATGTTCACATTAAGAACGCGATTTCGGTGATGACGAGGTATAATTATGCGATTTCGAAACGACCAGCAACATCATGAAATTGAAGAAATAGCTGGATTGAGTGAGAGGAATTTTGAAACGACCAGCTTGTAAAGAGAAAAAACGATCGCAGTACAAAAATAACGAGGAGGGGACCCTTGGTAGTTGGTGTTATGAATGCGAAAAGTAATTGAAGAGCTCACCGATGTCTGAACTAAAGGCCGATGGGATCAAGGTCAATATCGATGAAGTTCTCGGCAGGAAGGGTCTTACTTGTGCGGGTTGGTAACGTCAGCAGCATCGCAATGCAACTAGGAGAGAGAGGGTGTAGCGTAGTAGAAACAAGAAAATCTCAGAAACCGTGATGTGAAATATTCTTTGCAAGCCCAATCGCTTTGGCCCTCTACTCCCGAGAAGTAAGTCTTGAAATTTTTACAACTTAGAAACTGCGTTTTTACGAGGAGCAGGGTCACAAGAACAAACGCTCTGCGAAGGCTTTTTTTGTCTCGCCGGTTTTCTCGCTTTTAATACCTTGCTGAGAATGAGATGTTGTTGGGTACGCTCTCGCAAGCGACAGTAGTTCCGGAAAAACCCTGGGCAACGAAGCAGCTTCTCAAGTTATAGGAGTCACGAAACATGCGTACTAGAATACAGTGTCTGTCAACGGGTCACCATCATATGTTCAACGCCCCTTGAACAGATTTTATAACTTGAGTAAAGGTTCGATGTATCACCCACACCGAGGAGAGATCGGTCGATAACGAGAGCTCCCTCTTTTCTTTTGTTGCCTGCGTTGGAAGAACGCGTCCTAAAGATGTTTGAGAGCTACCAGCGAATTTATATGCAATGAGTAAGGAGGGAGCGGCCTTTTTGGTGACTAAGATCTGTTCTCGAGACGATTTTCTCCTGGTTGGGATCTTTTGTGGATTGTGGTAAGTTGCGAGTGCGAGTAGAATGAAAATAGGAGTATTAACAAAACAGATTTAGGCAGTAAGGCACAAATAAACCATGATGATAATAATGCCGCAAAGGGAAATAGTCAAAAATCTGAATTTAAGAGCCAAGTAAGGAAGGGACCCGTATTCAAACATGAAGCAACCGGTAAGCTGTTGAATTCACTGCGAGAACAGCTCAAGGAAGGAACAAATGAATGAGCGATCCATGTTTAAACTTCAAAGCAAATAATAAGCTGAAAAAATCGATGCGGAAGAAACTCAAGGAAGGAATGGATAAAGAACGATTCACCTCAAAACTTCAAATGACCTGGTGAGCTGACGAAATCGATGCGAAAACAGCTAAAGAAACGAATAAGTGAACGATACGTGACACTAAGGCAATGCAAGTTTGAAAACGTAAGCACAGAGGGGTGAAGTGAGGTTTGATAGTAAGCGAAATTTCGCTGCGTACCTCGAACACTGAGCTGCGCGCACAATAGCGTATCGGTGTATATCGCGGCGTGCGATTTCTCCATCAAAACTGTGAGGTTTACGTTCAAATCATCGCGGGCGCGTTGTATGGTGCTGAGTGAAGAGACATGACGATGAAAACAATTGAAACATAACGCAAATGGCTGAGGTATAAATTTGGCGCCTTTTCGTGTCGTTTAAAGGGGTTCTACGGACTACTCTATTTATCCTCAACGGTCCTGCCGCGATGGCTAGAGCACAGACGACCAGAGGACTAGGAACGAGCCTTGGAGGAGAGGGACCCGCGAGAGAGCGCAGAGGCGGTCTAAAGGGTTTAGTTTAAGTAGTCCGTCGATCATTCAAATGGGGATGATGATTTACCTTGGGGCGCGAACTTTGTACTAGAGCACTTTTTTTTGAACAACGGAATTTGACTTCATTTTTTTTGAATTTGTTATTGTTGATTGCGAATGAATTGATGACGAGATTTGGCTGTTCTTTTTGGTTGCGTTCGCGTTGGTGTCGGTTGAACTGGTTTGGTTTTTTGCTTGTAATTGTTGTGGGCGCTTACCTCCAGCGGATATAGCTGCGATAGCGATCGAGTGAGAAATTTGCCATTGGCTGTTTTAACATCAGCAGACCGTGCGCTGTGATCGGGGCCATGATGGACTTTGGTTATGATTCCTAGAGGCCATTGGCCTCTTGGAAGTTTGTCATCGGCTATGATCACTACATCGCCGTCTTGGGGGAAGGATTTGGTATACTTAGGCTGACGCAGGCGCTGCTGGTGCCGTTCCCTGAGTGCCGCAAGGTAGTCGGAATGCCACTGGTCCCAGAATGCGTCCAAGATTTTGAGTGATTCCTTGTACCATTCTGCGAGCCTATGGGATGTAAGTTCAAAATCACTTTGCATGCGTTTGTTGGGCGGCAACTGTAGGTTGACCTCAGGTGAAATGAAGTCAATGGGTCTTAAAACGTGAATGAAGGGGTCTGTTTCCCAATACGGAGTTATAGGGCGAGAATTTATTATCGCCTCTATTTCAACGACGATTGTTTGCAACTGTTCCAAGGTTACCAACGAACGTCCCAATGCTTTTCGAAGGGCAGATTTGAAGAGTCCCACCATCCTCTCGTAAAACCCTCCCTTCCAGGGTGACAATGGAGTAATGAACTTCCAAACAATTTTATGCTTGGCGAGGTACTCCAACATAGGTTGCCAGGAGGAAGGGGGGTACAGCAGATTTTGGATGGTATCGTTTGCGGCGTGGAATGTAGTTGCATTATCGCTGTAAACGATATCGGGAGTGCCCCTGCGGGCAATAAATCTGCGAAAGGCTAGAAGGAATTCTTGCGTTGTGTTGTTGAGCACAAGTTCTAAGTGGATTGCCCTTGTTGCCATGCAACTCATGAGACAAACCCAAACCTTGTTGGAAGAGGAATATGGGTTCCTGTATGTCAGCGGTCCTAGGTAATCCACGCCTATATTTTGAAATGGTCTTGATCGCGTAGTGCGTTCTTTCGGAAGCGATGGCATATCTGGGTATTGGTAAGCATACCCATTGACTTTTTTACATACTGTGCATGTGCGAAGGGCTTTTACTACTGAACTACGTATTGATGGGATGAAGTAGTTCCTACGTAAGGCGGCTATGGTGGAGTAAACTCCTGCGTGGAATCGAGTCTTGTGAACATGCATAGTAATGATATAAGTTAGTCTATGGGATGGAACCAAAAGGATAGGAGCAAGTGTGTGAGGGCCTATACGTGACGGACAACGTATCAAACCGTCTTCCGTCTTTTTAGCATTGAAACGAGCAAGTTGCAATCGTTTCAATATGTGTTCGCTCTCACGATAATGAGAGATGATCAGTAATTTTTCTGCGATATCGACGTCTGTAGCAGTCCAGCTACCCTTAGGACTAACCTTTGCTATTTGGGGTAGACCTTCAAGTAATCGTTCACGTTTACTTGAAGAGAGATGACTGAAAACTTTGATACGTATGAATCGCAGTACGTAGGACGTAATATTGACTAGTTTGAGGTACTTGTTGGTAGCCTCAAACGGCAACACCGAAGCAAAGGTGCTCTCTGCAACGTATGAATGTTTTGAAACTCCAGTTCGCTATCCTCAACATTGTCAGGAGGGATAGTGAAATCCAAATGAGTGTTGGGCCATGAATTGTAAGGACGAAGCATAAAGGCAGGCCCCGTCCACCAAGTATGTTTGTCCATGTCCCTTGTAGTTAACCCCCGGGTGGCGCAATCTGCGGGGTTATCTTCCGATGATACGTAGTGGAATTTGGTGGTGACACCTTGTTCTTGAAACGCCGACATTAGATTGCGAATTGAAGTAACCCGGTTCTGTACAAATGTTCTGAACGATCGCGTGGAATGAATCCAATGTAGTGCGATTAGTGAATCAGAAAAGAGATGTATTCCGGTAATACTGAGACCCAATTGTTCGAAAAGGTATTTTGCGAGACGGGTACTTATCAAGGCTGCTAGGAGCTCTGCGCGGGGAACGGTGATTGGCTTGGTTTCATTAAGGTGGGATTTAGCCATAAGTAAGCGTGATGTTGATGACGATTTTGTATGGCAAATCAAATACGCGCATGTTGCGTAGAGTCGTTTCGATGCGTCCCCGAAAATACAGAGTTGATAGGTACAAGATGATTTCGAACAAGGAGTCAGTAGTCTTGGGATCTCAGGCGTTGAATGTTGCAAATCAGATATTAATTCCGACCATTTCTGCAGATCGGTTTCGCTGAGCGGTTCGTCCCATGATAACTGCTTATTCCATAAGTCTTGGATGAATACTTTGATTGGCGATAAGAATGGAGTAAGCAAACCAAGGGGGTCGTATGTTGATGCTAAGGCGCGGAGCGCTGTGCGTTTTGAACAAACTTGGACTTGGATAGTTTTAATGGGTATAGTGAAGGTGTCTCTACTAAAGTTCCAGTGAAGACCAAGTAGCGTGGTCCGTGCGGTGTTTATAACTCGGTCTTCTTTGGCTATGGCATTATTGACTACTGTTGAGTTACACAGAAACTCCCTCAAATTCATATGCATGGTAGAAAAAATGTTTTTTGCGTAGCGATATTTTAGAATGGCCTCTTCATGTGAAGTAGCTCCGATGACTACATTATCAACATAAATGTTATGTTCAATTTCCGTTGAGAGAGGATTCTTTTCGCGATGAAGGTAAAACTGAATGGCTGCCGCGAGCATGAATGGTGATGCGTTAACCCCAAACGGAACTCGCGTAAATCGAAAAATGCGTAGATTTTTTGGTGAAGGTGGGTTAGAAGGGTCTTTTAGCCAGAGAAACCTAGTGGCGTCTCGCTGTGAACGTTGCAGTCGAACTTGATGGAACGCTTTTTCAACGTCCGCTGTGAGTAGGAATCGGTGTAGCCTTGCACGGAGAAGTATACCAGCAAGCTGTGGTAACAGAGTTGGACCTTGATATAAGCAGTCGTTCAAGCTCGGAGCGCCCCGTCTTTTGGAAGAAGCATCAAATACGATGCGTAATTTGGTAGTAGAGGACGATTCTTTGTAAACGGCCTGGTGTGGGATATAATAGATCCGATGATCGTCGAAAACGAACTCATTGACTTCTTCTATAAATCCGGCTGTAAGGTGGTCCTCGATAGCTTTGGTATACTGTTTCCATGCACTTGGGTTACGACTTAATCTTTGATATTGATTGACCAATCGACAATAAGCGACTTGTTTGTTGTCCTCGAGTTTAGGGTGAGATTCCTTCCATGGAAACTGAACATAAAGGAAACCGTCAATCATTTGAGAGGTATTGTAAAATTTGCGTAGAATGTGAGCGTCTAATTCGGTATCTGCGTTAGGATCGTGGTTATCTGTAATGCCTAATGAGTCAAGCGTCCATAACCGCTTGACAGCTTCGTCTTCGGCATTTTCGTAGGCTGTCGAGACCGTTTCGGCGCCTGGGCTTGTTGGTGTCCCATGTAAAAAACCGAATTACCTGAGACCACTGTGCCGAACCTGGTATGACTCAAAATCATACCTGATGGTAGACAAATAGGAGCCTCTGGAGAAAGAATATCCCAATAGTTGTCAATGCCAATAAGTACATCTGGTAGTACGGGCTCCGAAGAGCGACATGATGGTAACTCAAGTCGATGACTCCTGAGAAAATCGACGTCTGCATCAGACAACTGTGGCGGCGACTGAGATAAGGTGATAACGTCTTTAGTGGTCAGGCGTACAACGAATCTCTTATTGAGAGAATCAATGAATTCAACCTGAACCACACCTGATACTTCGGTACTCTTCTGGCCACCGAAGGCAACGAATGTCCTTGGGCGAGGGTCCGTTATTGGAAGTCCCAAACGCTGAGCCGAGCTAGTTGCTATAAAGCTATTTTGTGCGCCAGAATCAAGGAGTAAAATGAGGTCCAAGGATGTTGCCGAGGTATAACCGTAGGCTTTTGCTTTGACGAGCATCAACGAAGCTTGGTCTCGTTGTGGTTTTGCGGCTTTATTTCTGCATGATTGATAACACTGATTTATCTGTTCGAACTCGTAGTCCGAATCAACTAAAGAGTGCTGTGAAGCTAGTGGGTATGGCGAGCCTTGACGTGTTTTGGACGAATTTGTATGCGTTGCATGTGGTCTCTGCCCTCGGGGACTATACGAACGATCACGGACTGGTGACTTAAATGCGACACGGTTGGGTGAACGCGAGTTATACCTCAAGGAAGGGTTGCGCATATAGTGTCTGCTGTCTCTATCGCGGCGGCTGCGTATTGGTGATCGAGAGTACTCGCGATCCTCTGATCCGTATGATCTAGAACTATGCCGCGAAGGACTACGTGAAGCGTATCGATCCCTTGTGGGTGAGCGGTACCTAGTACGATATCGATCATAGTCATAATCGCGCGAATTCGAGCGATTGCGTGATGAGGAAGGTCTGGTACTATCCCTGCTCCTTCTTGTAGTGCATAGGAGCTCGTGGTGGTCTCCTTTGCAACGACGACAGGGAGGGTAGTGGCAAGACCGAGAAGAATGACCTATTCTCAAGCATCTCCAGCACAACTGAAATGCTCGAGCTATTTGACGGCGAGCGAAGGTTGGCATCTCCTCTCGACATCGTATCGGCTTATGACTTGCTGAGTCGCAGAAACAACAGCGGGAATTATCATGGCCAGGTGAGGGGGACTGTGAACGGGATGGACTGGGGAAGTGTTGACGGAAAACGTAGTTCTGAGAGTGGTGGAGTCCTCGTACTTCTCTTTAGAAGCAATGATGTTATCTAAGTGGTGCATGATTTGATGCAAATCGAAGTCTGCACCGGACTGAAACTCCAGATCGTGTAGTTTCTGTTGGATTTCCTGATGGAAATTTGCCTTTGACTAAGTCAAGTATAGGCAAGACCGTACGGAAATCTTCAAATTTCCGCAAACCGTGAAGGATCCCTGATATTCGGAACCAGGTGTTGCGTAGTTCGGGGCCTAAGTTTCGAGAAACTGGTAGCTGCTGTAACTGTTTGTGAAGCATGGCGCGGGTTTTATGTGGGCGGTCGTAGCGCTTTTTTAAGGCCTTTACGAGTTGATAGTAATTGCATTCCTCTGGATCGAGGTCTTGCAAGACTATTTGCGCATCACCTTTGAGAAGATTTTGCAGGTATAGAAATTTATACGTGGGACTAATATTTGGGTCATTATGAACAGCGTATTCAAACGCACACCAGAATCTCTGAAACTGTGTTATGTCCCCACAGAATGGTTCCAGATTGAGTTTGCCCAGCTGAATGGGAGCATGAACCCTTATCTGTACGTCAGTGGGTGTATTGGGATCTGGCGTGGTATTAAGATTGCCATTACGGATGGGCGTCGAAGGTCTTGAATTTTGGAAGGTAGACGCTTGAGTTAGCTGAATAGTATTGGCTGTAGCGTTAAGAGGAAGGCTTTGGTTTTGCGATCTAAGCGAAGACTGTGATTCTTCAGGTAGCTGTCTACGAGCCTGCGCATGGTTATCGAGCTCCTCTAACAGCGCTCTTGTGGCGTCTAAGTTTGCCTGAAGGGTTCGCAAAAGGTTTTCTGCGTTGGTGATTGCGTCTTCTACTTTGGTTTCTTGCATATAGTTACAATATGCTTCGTTGTCAACTTCTGGATTAGTCGAATTGCCAACGAAGGTAAGGAATGCTTGTTGACGTTCTCGCACCACGCGCAGGGCTGAACGAATGCTCGATATATGGGTCTCAAGGGCCTCATCGCGTTCGCCGAGAAGCTGACGCTCATTATCCGCAGAGGAACTGACATCAAAAGGATCGACAAGATGTTGAGATACCTTACCTTGGGCTACCTCCAAGGCTGTATAGGCTTTAAGTCAGATTAGCTTTACAGGAACTGATTGTTGACATTGTAATAGGAAGAATTGGCAGGAGGCGGTTGCTGCCGTACCCAAATCTAAAATAAGGGATGTGAAAGGTGAGGTCGTGCCGCAGGAATGTTCCGGCCAAGAACTTCCTGTGGCAGAAAAACGAGAGACGTTCACACGATGTAGAGCGCTATCCGTCGGAGAACCAGATGAAGCCACAGTGAAAAACATCCGGATATAGAAATAGCTTTAAAGGGCATGAAGAGCAATAGCGGCGACAGGAAATAACCGTGAAACACATACAGTAGAGAATGAACGCAAGGTTACACATTGCTTGCGGACCGAGGATGCGGCCTGGGTACACGTGCAGTTACGGGGCGGGACTACAGTGAATTCAGGAGTTCCCGTTTGTATGCTGCGACTAGTCCCAGAAGGGGTTTCCTTCCGCCCCCTTTCTCCCGAGCATGGCCTTGCGCCTCGACTCTTTTTTTAGGAGCTGTCCCCATGGCTGCTGGTGCCACTCCAGGTCCATGGGTAAGAGACGGCGGCCACAAGGGTGGAAAAGGCAATACCCTAGTCGAAGCTCCTACGTAGCCTTCTGCGTAATTGCTTGGAACTAATCCTACTGGTATGGCGAGGTAACTGATATGCCTGCGACATTCTTTTCGTGGATTGGTTGCCACCTGGCGTAGGAAGGCGCATCGCTTAAGCGGCAGCGTGTGTTTGCACACGTCCGATCCCAGTCCGATGCACCAAATTTTGTCGGACCCGTTCTTAGGCTCAACTGTCTAGGCGCATCGGCGGATCCTTAGAGCCTACAACGCGTCGCGACAAAAGGAAAATTGGAAGGGCTTCCTACGCGGCTCTTTGGCCTGCCAGCGGGCAACGCTTAACAAGGCCCTAATGCCCTTGCTCCAGGCTACCGGGAGGAGTAATGATGATCAAGTGACTAGTTTCTTTCACGACACGAAACGATCTGGTTACTATGACCCACATGAGGAATTAATGGTTAAAGAAAACCTTTTTTAACATGGCAAATGCGAAGATCAATCATCATCATATTTAATGATAAAAAATGGCAACTGCGAAATGTAACAATAGAAACGACCTAACTTAGGGGACGAACCTCTGACCGCCTCACTAGGGGCCTTAGCCGATCCTCACCCTCGAGGGCATACCGGAGTGCAGCGCCATAGACGTGTGTCATGCAGGGCTGTCCGACTCGGCAGCGGGCCCAAGAGTTGCCCCCATCCGCGTTGATCCGACGGCCGCAATCGTCCTCGTGTAGACGGGCACTGACGCAGTACAGAATGAGAATGGCGTGGGGAGAGCGAAACGACCGCTCAGGCGGGAGAGACATGTCGACGAGACTGGCTAGATCATTTTAGGCCGCTGGGTATCGATGATCTCTTGCTTGATACCGTATCAGCTCGCGATGGGACCCCAATGCGGTGTACCTGACGTTGTTCCTTGACATTGGCTGGACAGCATTGATTGAATGAGTTGAATGAGTCGTACGAAGTCACGACAAAATCCGTGCTGGCAACCGAACGGAATAGACGCTCAGCGATTCTGAGTGTGAGGTATTCCTTGATGCGAGAGCATACTCTTCTTTCCATTACTTTGCTGACACAAACGTCAAACAAATAGGCCTATAACTGCAAGAATCCGTTTTAGGGCCCCTTCTTGTGAACAGGCTTAACCCATCTCAGGCGCCAGATTTCTTGGACATCACCTTTCAGAAGAATTCTGTTAAATTAAATAGTCAAGGGCGCGGTAAGCCCCAAGGCAGCTTTACGGAAAAAATGTAAGGCAGCATAATCCGGCGAAGTAGAGGGCCGTAAAGGTTTTCTTTAATGCTTGGTAAACGTCGTCGCTACTGATGTCAATCCAGTCGAGAGCAGGGTGAATATCGGTCGAGGAAATCCTCGACAGGGGGTCGTACCTGTTGGGCTGGTCCATGAGGGTGTGCTCCGCCATGAGGGTTCGGTTTACTGTGTGGGTGGGCGACGGTTCGGGGTGTAACAGTAGGAGTGGTATCTATGGTGCAGATAGTGTAATAGTGCAACGTAGTAGTCCCCGGCGAGTTGCAGAAATGGAAAGAGCATCCCGAAAAAACATGATATTAAATTTTTTGTTTGCAGGTTCGTAGTCGCTCCATTCCTCCACCTTCATGAGAAGGGCGTATTTGAAGGCAGTACAAAGAATGAAAGTGCATCCCCGCAAAGAAGAGTGCCACATGTGCGCACGCGCTGCAAAGGCACCTCCTCCGCCTATCACTCGCTCCTTCTCCCTTAATACCTCGCTGAGAATGACGCTGTTGTTAGGGACCCTGTCGGAAAAACGACAACCGTGAAGAAAAAGCGCTGGGCAAATGAAGTTGTTTTTTAGGTTACAGGAATAGCACAACACACTATGTCTACTACAGTACAGTTTCGTTCGAAGGCGGTCTGTGTGGCGGGGCCGATCATAATAACACCTTTCAATGGATTCTGCAACTGTGAGTGGAGGAGGGATGCATGGCTTATACCAATACCAAATCGGATGATGACGATTGCTCCTATTCTTATTGTTTGCGTTCAAAGATATTGTTCTAGACACATTCCGAGTGTTGGCATCGAGTCACACTTGCAATGGTGAATGAGGGAGCGGGTTTCCAGGTGGCCGGATCCGTCCTCGATAGATCCTCGACGCAATTATCTCTTCAACCAAAAAAGCTGTAGAAGAAAACTAAACAGACCATCAGGAAGCGCAAACCTTCCACTTTCCAAAACTACCTTCCCTTTTTCAGGATCTCACAATATAAGAGATGTATTGCTCTTAAAGTGGCAAAAACTCGCATGAAAATTTGGGCCT